ATCAATATGCTGTGATCAACTCGATCAAAGGCTTTCGTAAAGTCCATGTACAGGACATCAACTTGAGCTCCAGTGTTTAAGCCACTCTGGGCGTAGTACACAAACTCGGTTAGGTTTGATGCTGTAGATCGTCCTTTCATAAAGCCATGTTGGTTAGGCGAGATGCGATCACGAACAATTTCAAGCAAATTTACGTTGACGAGATGCTCGAAGAATTTAGCGATCGTTGGTAGTTTTGCTATGCACCTGTAGTTTTCAATGTCCGATCTGGCGCCCTTTTTGAATATGGGTGATACACTCGATCGTTTCCATTCGTCGGGAAAAATGCCAGATGAAAGCGACTCATTGAAGATCTTGGTCAACGGACTAGCAAGCGTCTGAGCACACTCCTTTAAAATCAAAGGATGAATACCGTCAGGTCCAACACCTTTCTTGGTGTTGACCTTCGTCATTTCAGTCATGACAAAATCGAGGTCAAGCTGGAAACAAGAGGTGTTCTCAGACTGAGGTGACGGTTGATTATTTGGCGTCGTTGATGTGGAGTAATTGCTCCCAAAGAAGTCCGCAAATAAATTTGCTTGCTCTGATTCGCTGGATGTCTTGGTGTCACAGAATCGCATGTTTTTTGGAATGTTATCAGTGCTCTTCTTAGAGTTAACATATTGCCAAAACGAAGAAGGATCACTTTTCAAGTTTGATTTCATTTTGTCGACGTACTGATTGTATAGTTCAGTGTTTTTTGCACTGAATTCCTCGTGCAATTTTTCAAATGGCTCCTTATCATTGGTCAGCTTCCAGTAATCCCAGGCTTTTTTCCTTAAGTTCTTGAGGTGTCGAAGTTCTTTGTTTTTCCATGGGCATTTTTGGTTGTTCTTGCGGACATACGTTGGAACCGTACACTGAATAGCTTCCGCTAGCACGTCATGAAGGGATGACACCTTCTCCGCAAGTGATTTGTTTGCGAATAAGTCATCGAAATTGACGGCAGCAAAATATTCGTTCATGCGCTGAAAATCAGCCCGTTTGAAGTTGAAATGCGTATTATTCTGGTTTTCGGAACCACTGTTATTCGGATGCCATTCAAATTCAATCAGCAGAGGAGGGTGGTAATGGTCGATTTTATCCGTCAGTGACAGTTTAGTGGCATCGGAAATTGATGTGTTGGCATGGTCGTTTGTGAAAAATAGGTCCAACAGTTTGAAGTTCCGATTTCTTATTGAATTGATTTGCTGGAGGCCCAGGCCCATCAGGCCGGTAATGAAATCAGCAGCACATTGGGAGTGGAAATTAGAGGGAACAAGCACATTGCTATCCTCATCGTCATTTATCCACTCAACGTTTGTCAGATTAAAGTCACCAACAACTATCACAACGTCATCGGCATTTGTCGTGAGTGATTCAATGGCTGAACGATGCAAAGCGTAGATTTCGTTGGGTGAGTTCGGTGGAATGTATGCATTGTAAATAAAAATGTTGTGTGTTGGCAAGCTCGCTTTAATGCATACGTGCTCAATGTCCACTTTGTCGAATTTAATTTCTTCAGTAGAGAAGATTTCATTGTTGAGCGCAATGAGAACACTTCCACCTCGTCTAAATGATCTGTCTTTGCGGTAGACGTCGTAAGTGCTATTAAAGAATTCGGCATTACGGTGGCTATGTTTGAGCCAGGTTTCAGTCAAGATGACTATGTCAAAACCGAAAGCAGCACATTTGTGGAAAAATTCATCCTGTTTGTTACCCAAGCTGCGAATGTTTTGGTAGTAGACACTGATGCGTGTCGCGTCGGGTGTGTGCAGCTTGGGGTTCAACGGAATCGTCTGTTGTCCACGCGATGGACGAAACGGTTTTGCTGTTGCTCGGAGTTTGCTGCGCGGTAGAGACTTGGGCGCTGAGCAAATGGATTGAACCAATGGTTCACATTCGGTGTCGTCGGTGCCTGTGTATAAGCGTACATTGGCTGAGGATGGTTTCTGACTCTGTTTGTGTTGCCATTTGAGGGCATCCCGTTTTTTGACTGCCGGTTTGAATTTGCATGTGGTGCACTGGTGGACGAGGGAGGTTTTGGTTTGTCCACAAATTCACAGGCCTTAACTGAACTTGGCCATATCGACGGGTTAATAACACGTTCAAAATATTGACGAGGAAAGGTCAGTTAGAACGTTATGAATTTGTAGCTTGAAATTGGCCGGCCACCACTTGTCAATCTTTTGCATTGAATCTCATTGACAATGTTGGATGTGGAGTCAATGGAGCGCAAATGACTCAAAATATCATCACAGGTGGTGTCATTTGAAAAGCGTGAAATGTGAACGCTCTTCGTCAGTTTGGATGACAGTAGAACTGATGGAACAATTTTCTTGTGTAAATTGCTGACCTGTGGTAACGGTACCGCTTTGGCGTGCAAATTGCTGGCTTGAGCGCGTGAGGCATTTTTTATAACCGGTTTGCGGGCCGGAGCGTGAACAAGATTGCGCAAATTTATTGCATTCTGCTGAAGTGATGGTGTTCTGACACTTTCATCAGCAGCGTTGTCAACGCGTGACATACCTGGATCGTCGGATGATGTGAGGCACGTACGTTTCACCGTTTCGTTGATTAAGCAACCAATTCTACGCTTAACGTGTTTTTGGTCCGGACGTGGAGTGTCAAAATATACACTCGATGTAGCAGCATCCGATTCGACATTTGGGACGACTGTAATGTCCAAGTCATCGTTTTTTTCACTCACGTCCATCGGTTCCGCTGACTTTTCTTCGATCACAACATTTTCAGTGTGCACGGTGGCATTGGCATTTTCAATAAAACGAAGAAACGAATTTTGGTCAATTTCAATCACTTCTGTAGCACCGATATTCTGCTCATTTCGTTCATTTTGGTTGCTGGCATTCTTTTGCGGTAAGTCCGCGCACAACACTTTGTCGATGAGAGGCACTAGCGATTGTTTGAGGTCCAAAATAAAATTTGAACACTCAGTGAAATTGTTTACAATGCCACTAAGAGTGTGTGGCTGACAACTGTCACAATACCACTGTAAACCGGAAATTTTCGCCAAAAAGTTTGTCAGAGTTTTATTGAAAACAGTGGTGGAATCATTTTTATTAAGGCACGCAAAATGAAAATGTTTGCCGCATAAACCATAGCATGAAATGCTTTTGTTTTTGTCATTGGCTACGGGTTTCACACACAACGCACATTGGGCCATTTTATGGTTATAAAAAAAACAACAACAATAACACGGGAAAACGATGTGAGTAACGAGAGCGACGTAACCAAAAATGTGCACAAATTATCACAGAAATAAATCGACGAAATTGATGTTGACACGGATGAACTTTATAATATTCAAATACAGCAAGTCTTTACGAATAGAATGATATAAAATTTGTGACAAAAAAATGTGGATAACTATTTAAAAACGATAAAATAATGTAAACAAAGACGAGAAACGAAAAAAAACACAACTGTCAGCGTAGCTGTCAAACGTCTATTTGTTTTTTATTAAATTTGTTTATTTTGTCTAAATGTTTTTTTATCAACACGTCGACCAAATCTCCTTTGAAACCATTTATTTTCGCCATTTGTTTAATGCGAGCGTATTCAGTCATGTAATTTTGTGCTGAGAGTTTCATTCGACACAATCGATGAACCATTGAATGATATGCAGCCAATTTGTGTTGCATGCTACAGTTTGAATCACTAGTTATTGTTCTCAAAGTGTCAGTGGGTTTGTGGTAAATGGCAATATCAATTTTATTGTCCACAGAACTTGACAATTCCATGTCCAAAAACGATTATTTACATTTATCATCCTCCTTCTCACACGTAAATTTAATCGAATCGAATCGAATCGATTGTTGAGCACGTTTAACACTGAGTCAATTTCGTCTTTCTTTATTATCGCGAATACATCGTCTACATATCTCCACCAGATTCTGGGGAGCAAGTTTTCTTGTTTTAATTTTCGTTCGAATGCCGACATGAATAACTCACTAATCAATGGGCTAAGCGGATTTCCCATGTTAGTTCCAGTCGACACATGATAAAACGAATTACGAAATTGAAAATAACTATGATCCATACACATACGTGCTGCTTGGTAATAAACTGATTTTTGTTCGAATGGAATATCAATTTGCTCTAAATATTTTTCAAATTCCTTCAATGCAACATCAATTGGAATACTTGGAAATAAAGAACACACATCAAATGAAATTTTAGTCTCATCACAATTCACAACAACATTTTCATTTTTTTCAGCGAAGTCAATTGAGTTTCTGACTGAAAAACTCTCAAAAGGTGGCAGTTTTTTGACTTCTCTCACTAGCCATTTAGCAATGAGATAGTCAGTGGTCCCGATACTAGATACAATCGGCCTCATTTTGTTTCCGGCTTTATGTATCTTTGGTAAACCGTAAATTCTGGCAACTTTTGGATTCGACACTTTGAGATTTCGAGCCAGACGCGCACCAAACACTTTTCCTATTTTTTGTCTCAAATTATCACTTTCCCGAATCATTTTTGGTAGAGGAGTTTTCTTGACTTTTTTTATAGGCGCATTCGTTGATTAAATTTAACATTCTCTCATCATAGTCCGCCTTATCTATGATAACAAGTTTGTTGCCTTTATCCGTTTTGACGTAGTAACAATTTTTGCTTTTTAGCTGTTTAATAATGTCAAATTCATTGTTCATCTTTTTTGTTACTTTGCTCTTTTTCTCACTTAACGAATCAATCACTTTCTCCACCTTATTTCTAATGTCATCTTTAACTGAGTTCATTCTGAACTTCAGGACAGTTTCAATGTCAAGAATTGCAGTGGTTAGCGGTAAAACAGACGGTGTTGGCGAATATTTCAGGCCTTTGTTTAAAAGGTTCAATTCTTCTTCACTAAAATCCATGCTCGACTGATTGATGACAAAATCAGGAACAATTTCAGGCGCAACACACACAACACGTTTTTTCATGTGGTTTGTGTAACGAGAAACTAAAAGATATGAAAATTATTTCAACGACGGAAAGAACAACACTTGATTTATTGGTTTTTGAACCCTGTTACGAAAATATCGTAAAACTACGTGTAATTTCTTCAGCAAACAATAAATTTGACACAACAGTTCGTGAATATACCGCACAAAACCAAAACAAAGTCACTTGTCAAATACTGCTGACTGAGCTGAGACAAACAAAACAACCAAAAGCCACCAACGAAGTAGATTATCTGAATATCGAGAGGAAACTACTATTATTCTCCTGAAAAACTGTTTTGATTTGCAAACGACCATCGAGAGAAAAGTGATTGCAAAATCAAGAATTTTCCTGTGTATTTCTCAAATGAAAAGTCTATTGTTATTTATTACAATACGTTATGCTTGAATATTAACAATAAATATGGATATTAGTCTTGACAACAGTAATTCTAACAGCATATCACATGTGACATCGTTCACTTTCAGTTCGCCCTTATGCCGAGCAATTGTTTGTTTGATCGTTCGACTGAACCGCTGGTGTGGGAGTTTCTTTTTTCATGGATAGAAAAACGAAAGCGCATACTGTAAATAGAATTGGTTTGTGATTAAATTGAGAAAACATGAGAAATTGATGAAAGAACGAAAAATTAGAAGAATCTTAATTACCGAATGCGAGGCCTGCAAATACATTAAAAATCAAATTGCAATTATTTTCCACCAGCACACCAACCAAATTGCCTCCTGCTAGCCCTCCAATTCTGCCAAACATGAATATGAAGCACGTGGCCATCGCACGAATATGTGTTGGATACAAGCTGACGCTAATCGCACTGACAATCGCTGCGCACAAGCTACTGCTCAAAAATGTGACAAATGCTATAACAATGGTGTAGAACTCTGTTAGAAGATTTAGCGCTAGTGCACAAAGACCCGAGATTATAATCCATGAAGCTGAAACAGACAGAAAATGTCAAGTTAAAGTCTAGTCACCTAGCAGCTAATTTGGTAGTAAAATGACTTTCAATAAACAAGAATACGAACGAACTAAAAAACGTGGATTAACTTTATCCAAATAAAAGCTTATTAGTCCAGATAAGATCGTAAACACCACACCGATATAGCACATTATTTGAAATGTTAACGTGTCACCGTTATCTATATTACATTCTTGATCACTGAAATTATCAGGACAAAGTTAAAATCACTCATGATTTTATTTGATTTGAAATTTTACCTTGATAAAATTAGTCGTTCATGTCCCACAACACCACACAGCGTTTTACTTGCGTCCTCATTATTATGAAGCTGAATCAGAAAATCTGGAAGCCTTAAAATATATGTTGCAAATATAACACGTTTTATGTACAAATTTTGTAGTCAGATGCGTTTAACAAAGGTATAAAAATGATAAAATAGCAAAAGCTGCCTACCACATTGCAGTTCCATGTCCAATGGCGAAAAGTGTGAACACCATGAAACAGAGCTTAACCGTGCTGTCTAAGTATGGTGCAACGAAAATTGGCTTTGTTTGATTCCACACTAATTTCAATATGTTCATAAATCCTTTTGTTGCCGTCAAATCATTTGCACTTGCCTCACTAATCAAATAATAAACTGGATACCCCTAAATAGCGATAACATTCGTATAAATGGAACGAATGAAAATAAGGGAATTCTTTTGGACTCACTTCTTTTATACTTCCAGTGTTGATTTCGTACATTTTCCTCAAAACATCTAACGCTTCATTTGGTTTACTCATAGCAAGCAGAAATTTTGGCGTTTCGGGCATGAATGAGAACACTATGGTATTCACAGCATTTACAATAGCAATGACGATAATATACAGTCTCCATGGAACGAATTTGATGAAAAATAAATTGATGCTCCAGTTCATTGGAATTAGTATCATTCCAACGATTGAAGCAAAAATAAAAATCATTGGCATAAACATGGACACAAACGATGCTGCTCTTGGAGCGGTCAATTTGGTATGGAACTCACTGACATAAGAGAAGACGCTTGCTTGAAGACCCGAAATGCTACAAATTGTGAAATACAAAACAAAAATGTACTATTGACCCAAAGAAACTTGTAGAAATTCTGTTTCCCTTTTCAAGTGACGCAGAATAAAAGAAAATGATTTAATATTAAAAAAAATCAAACACAATTACTTACAATATCCCAACGCAAAATCGTAGTAAAACCAACGTTGCTGCATTCACTGCAAAAGCGGATAAGAGGGCGCTGATTAGTGCACATGTTGCGGTCAACCGTATGACTTTCTGTCGTCCCCAAGTATCCGCTAGGAAACCCCACCAGTGCGAGCTCACAACAATTCCGAGAAATGCGATCGATGAAACGAGTCCCAATTCAGTTGTTGTCATATTAAGATCGCAATTTGCATAAGGAAGAACAAATGCAATACTTATGTTTTCTATCGTAGCACCCATAATGACTATTCCAGACAAAATCACTATAGCCACATTGAACCGCCCGAAGCCTGTTTGCAAAGTCAAGTTTAAGGCGTAATTAGCTATCACATCATTTCATTTATCCAATTTCGATGTTAATTCACCTGTGAGGTAGATGGCTTCATCCAATGTGTACTCTTTATTCCCATTGTAGTCGATGCTGGGTCTTTTGTTGTCTAAAATCACAGAAACATAGAACCAAAAAAAAAAGAAATTCATCAGCAATAATTTTAATCAGTTATAGAAAAAATGGCTACCTTCCCGACTTAAACTAGAGCTGAGGTTGTACTTGTTTTTCATTTCACGTGGTGTTAATTAAAGATCAACGAGAAGACTACTCCGTTCTATTGAATCGTATGAAGTTTTGTGTAGTGTATATCATTGTCATATCGTTGTTTTAGAAGCGAAAACAACTATTGCGATTAATAAAATCTACGTAACGCGTTAGATATGAGATAAGGCAAAGCAAAGAGCAGGTAAGAGCAATCGAGCACGTATTCTAATAAGCCATAAAAAGGCGCCTAGATCAAGGTACGACAATCATTTTATAAAACATTGTAATATATTCGCGACCAGTTCTCCATATTCACACCATATCTGTTTGATTCTGTTTGACAATAGTTTGAATGAATTCGATAAAAATAAAATGGGCTACGTCAATACCGGTTTTGAGGTTAGATGCCGTGTGGCTAGTGTTGGCTTCGAACGTTCGTTCGTTCGACATTATTGAAAAAAATTATTTTGTTCGTTCGTTCGATCGTCGATTTTTTAAATTCCTACGAACGAACAATATAATTTTTTTTAAGTTTTCGAACGGTCGAACAAGCGTTCAAAAGTGTTCGACTGCCAACACTACGTGTGGTGAAAAAAAGAATTCATAAATATCATCAAATATTTGGCCAATTCTTTTGCTGATTCAAAGTGAATGAACGATGGTTCTGGTGCATGTTCTTCATAGTCGCCACGACGTGCACTCATCACAATGGGCAACACATTTCGACTCAGTGCATTTTCAAAAAGTTTTTCCGTGATGTAATCCATACAATTCGAATTATCAAATGACAACTAAAATTTGTAGTCTTTATCAAGCATATTGTAACATCTTGCTTTATCACTGTGTGAACAGCTCAGACTGCCACATTCACCGTATATGAATGGTTTGGAGCGAAAATGTAATACAGAAAAGTTGAGCGGAAAAATGTCGATGATGAATGAGCGGAAAAGGGATAGCTATATAGTAAACTGCATAGTAAACTATAGTGAACTATACAGGGTGTAACAGAATTGCGTGCCAATAATTTAATCACGCATTGCTGGGGCCAAGACCTATCGAAAATGTAGGAAGCACTTTTCTGAATTCGGCCTCTATGCCAAAGTTTTGGCCATCGGCGAATTTTTGGCCGAAAATTCGTACTATGGCAAGGTGGTCATATCTTAGGCTATTTCTTGCGTATTTTTGATCACAACTACATGAATATTGGCTTATTTGAAAGGTATTGAGGTCCCCTTAGTGACACCACATGAATTTTGTACAAAAATATCATTTGGCTTGGCCAAAAATGGCGCCGGCCAGAATGTTTTGAAAAATCAGAAAAGTTGAAGAAAATAGTAATTTTTCTCGAAAAAATACGTTATTAACATATCTTTTTCAAATCGAAAATGGAAAGAGCATACAATTTTAGGGTGGTATGCAAAAATCTGTATCTCAAATTTGTTTTCATCGGCCGCAATGCATCATCGAATTCAGTCGTCGTTGGCCTGTTTTTGACCAAATATGGCATATTGAATATTTAACATATTTTCGGCGTATTTTTTGTTTCAGTTACATAAATTGCGATTTTTTTCGAAAGATATTGAGGCCCTCTTTAAGTATCAGTAGAAGAAGTATTGAAATATCGACACAAAAACGGCCAAAAATGGCCAGCAATGGCCGAAAACGGCGCCGACTGTTGAATATACTATTTGTATATTTATTATTCAAATAAAAGTAAACTCTGTATTATATATCATTGATATATAAGTAGGCTTGGATTTAAATGTAAGAATTTATGTTCAATAAAGATTCAGTCTCATTCTAAAACTCTTC